AAGCTGTCCAGCTGCTCCAGCTGTGTGTCTGAGTACATCTGAGAAAGGCTCAACTACTCTAACAGCAGGAGCACAACTGGGTCTGAAGCCACCTTGCCTGATTCTCCACCCAGCATTTTCCCTAAACGTCAAATAGTACAGTACATGATGGATGCGGATTGGGGTGTGATAGACATAAACTGAGACAGAAATCCTGTGCGCCTATGTTTGAAGGACTATTGCAAAAATCTGAATGGTGTAGAAATCCAAGGGAGGTGATTTTTCCTTTAAATTTAAAATTTCCCTATAATTTACATTTCTATCCAATGTTGTTTCAACATGTAAACTGCAAGGTTTGTAGGAAAGTTTATAGTTGATAGTCATTGAGACTACAGCCACAATCGTACAGAGCAAACACCCATACCTGTGCTCAGGCTTCATCCTCAATGTAGAGATCATTCAAAAACTGGAACTAGTGTGCGTGCAGTGCCTTTAGAGAAACTACAAATAATATCTTCAGGCCACTCTCATAATTTGTGAAAACACATTTATGGTTTGGTGGAAGGCACAAAATGTTTTCCATGGCAACCATGGCAACCCTGGGTGTCTAGCCTATTAGCTGTAATTCAGGGAGCATCTTCAACAGCAGGGAAATAGTCCTAGGCAATTAGCACCCAGGGAGTGGCCCTCCATTTTAAGAACAGAGTTGAAACTCTCCTGTTCAGAACATTCTTAACTTGATGTATTAATGAACACTAAGGCAGCTGTTTCATTTTGGTTAACTTTAGGAGGATTAATAAGCTAAAGTTTTTTGCAGGGGCAAAAAGAAAGATGCTATTTTCTTTAGACAAATTTGAAGAAATAATTTTAGCCCTAAATATCCTTTTTGGGGGGCTTCAGTTTGGTTTGGTTACATGTGTGTTTGGATCAGTTTTTTAGGGATTTTATTTTTTGCAAGGGAAATGCGATACCATTTCATTTCCTATTATCTGTCCTTAATACAGACTTTTGTTACACGGTGATTACAATGAATAATGCAGAGATTTTAGAGCATGCCGATGGAATCTACTTTTGGACCATTTAGACTAAAAGAAACATAGTTTAAGTTGCAAAATTTTTAATTTCAAAAATAGTGGTACACATTCAAAGAGGTGAAAGTCCTGTATTATACCACAAGCTCTCAGATTCCTCTATACATTCATTTATTTGTTGCTGTATATATTCTCTTTGTAGTAAATCATATATGAATAATAAGATTCTAACTTTATACAAGAAAGGCATATTGGAAGAAAACATGTTACATGAAAAAAGCATAAACATACAAAGTCATTCATATTTTACTCAGCAATATCACCTTATGTTTATTTTATATCCTATTTTAATATTGCTGAAATGTTGCAGTTTAACTTCCCCCTCCCCAAAAAGAATAAAGAAGCATCTAAAATAAGAGGCAGAAGAAATGGGTAGGAATGATAAGTAGATTCAGAATGATTTAGGATTTTTAGAAATGTAAAATCCCTGCCTCTCCATCAGTTTCAAGGAATTAGGAGATTAGGGAGGTGACTGGGAATGGTTAACATACCAGGAACAGAGATGAAAAGAAGCCTGCACTTCTGGAACTGCTGTCTCGGAAGCCTGATCAAGTGCCTCTTCTGGACAACTTTCATTTCTCTTTACTGATTTTCTGGAGCTTTAGGGGAAAAATTTTTTTTTTCTGTTACAGAGCAATCTCGGTAGTTTGATTTCCCTAAACTGAATTCTGGCTGCCAAATGTTCTAAATCTGCTGAATCTGAGCTTCTTCAACCATACAGATGGGCTGGTGTTGTTTACCTGACAGCACATTGTGTGCGGATTGACAGAGGTTACAGTGCAGTCTCAGATGAATTCCAAGGTGTGGTGGCTTAAGCACAACTGGTGTTTGGGTCTCATTTGCAGTCTCAGTCAGTACAGGTTTACTGAAATAGCACAGGTACCTGCCTCTCTGTGACAGGTTAGGGACCTGTGATCTTCCTTGCTGAGGCTCTGCCATCATTTAGGACCTTGCCATCACGTGGGAAGGCAAGTGGGAGAAAGGGACTCTGGCGTGAAATGTGACCGCTTATATCCCCAGGGACATTTGTATTGGAAAGAACTTAGCTGTGTGGTCATAACTGTAATACGGAAAGCTTTAAAATAGCCATGAACTGTGACTCTGAGAAAAAGAGAGAATACTAAAGTATAAGCAGTATCTGCCATTGTATGAATATTTTGTAAAACACTTAATAAAATGCATTCCACAGTAGGTCTTGAGTGTATTTGCTTTTCTTTTTTTCCTTGCATTTATATTTTTCTCTTGAAAAGCAGGGAAACAATTACCAGTAACCTTGTGAGAGAGAGAGAGACAGAGAGAGAGAGAGAGAGGGAGAGGGAGAGAGAGAGGGAGAGGGAGAG